ATTAAGCTGAAGTGGTCTGGGTGCCTAGAGTTGTCCTAAAGTTTACCATGCATTACCAGTAACATTGTACAGGGGTAGCAAGCCCCACTCCCATAAATGCAATATTCCTTGTTCTGAATTGCTGATGAATTACTTTTAATCTTTACTGTTAATCAGTGAGTTTGAGGTCCATCAGCACTACTGATAGAACCTGGGACTGAGGAATGATGCAAATCACCTGTTTTGCCATATCTCTGAGCCCATTGAGATTAGTAGCGTGTACCAGAAAGCAAGAAAACTATACCACCCTGAGCACAGCAATCAAGTTGCCTTAGACTACTAGCCCACAGGGGTACAAAGCACTTGGATCACCAAAAGGTCAGGGTCAAGGTTACATTTGTATTCACAATAAAAATGATTCCCTTACTAGTCTTCATTACCAGTATCTGCCTATAACCACACATCCCTAGGCATGGTTATAAGGTAAGAACCCTCCGTGTGGGTAATAGTGTTTTGCATATCTTCTTATGAAAGAAACCCTCCAGATACCTAAAGCACTTTACTTGCTGAAATACTTTATGTGTGACAAGTGTGTCCTCTTTTTACATTTTACATTTTACAAAAAGTGCAGATTTCAATAGAAATTTGAATTTTTATAAATTATTCTGGTCATCTCTCCCCCCTTCCTCCTGACCATTTTTTAGACAAAAAGGATGTTACTTCCTGGTTTAGTTAGCTTAGTGGAGTTAAACTCAATTGCCTAAACCAACTGCCTTGCAAAGACTTCTCATTAAGCTGCACAGGGAAGTCTGCGATTGGACAGTCACAGAATGTTTGGGAGGAGTTGGAAGGGGAGGGCTTTTGTAATGACATCAGACAAGAGATCTGCAGTTTTTACAAGCTGTTTTTAGCTATACCCACAATGAAAACAATGCATAATTAAGTTCATGCAGGTTTTTATTATGGGTTTATCTAATAAATTGTGAGGTATTTTAAAATAATTTATTTATATAGGCAGTTATGGGTCCTTTTAATGTGAAACATTTGCATGGTTTTTTTTTCACTTGATAACCAATCTGTGGAATTTCTAATTTATGATCTCTAATTTTTCTGAGTTAGGGACTTTTTGGAGCTCATTCTAAATTGATTAAGTATGTTGTCTGACCACTACAACTCACAATTTCTTTAAAAAACAAAATCACTAAGGTGTGAAAAGCAGTATAGATTTGTCATGAATAAATTAATAAAAGCTGTACAATATTCAGAAGCCCACTAAGATTAAGAATTCTAATTGATTTAATGTGAATTCCAAATTTAAAGGGACACTATAGTCCCCAGAATAACTCCAGCTTAATATAATTGTTTTGCTGTTTATAGCATGCCCCTGCAAGTTTTTTAATGTAAACACTGCCTTTTCATGGAAAAGGCAGTGCTTACATTACTGCCTAGCAATGCCTCTAGTGGCTGTCACTCAGACGGCCACTAGAGGTGCTTCCTGGGTCAGTGCTATACAGTGTGCAGCACTGACGTTCAGCGTTTCTACTCTTTGCATGGAGAAGCTGAACCTTCCCCATAGCTGCATTGATTTAATACGTGTGTATGAGGAGATGCTGAATGGCGCAGAGCAGCATTTTGACGCACATGCGAAATAACCTCCTAATGTTTTCCTATGGGAAAGCATTGGATTGGCTGAGATTGTCAATTTTGATAATCTCAGTCAAGGAGACGGACCCAGCCGCAGCGAACCTGCACGGCGCTGGAATAAAGGTAAGCTTATCTTTTTAAAGAGTGCCAAGGGCATCCGTGGGCATAAACTGCATTTGTGACACCATAGTGGCAGTATTATAGTGTTTCTTTAAGGCCAGATTCGCCAAAGTGAAAGCAAGACTGACTTGGGGAACTATTTTATAGTTCAGCTATTTTAAACTTAAATTTGAAACATACATTGAAATTTCACTTTGGATTTTTCACTAAAGTAAATAAACCTTTTTTGTGGTTTTTTTGAAAAGTGTGTCAAAGATGTAAAGGGGAGAAGTCACCAAAAGAATGTTCCTGGTAGCTCCATTGGTTTCCATAGTAATTGCCCCACTTTTAGATCTTTGCCCACTTTAATTTCTGTAAATAAAATGCCCTCTATGACTTTGCTGAGTAACAGCAACTTACCAAATACATACCGTTACTCCAACACAACAAGTCAGAAGGGCAAATGTCTCAAGCCAATGTTAGTTGTAGAGTACATCATTTCATTAAAAGGAAACACCAGATAAACAAATTAAATATATATATAAAAAAAAATTTTTTTAAAGCAACGTTTAGATTTTCTACAAAAATACTTTAAATTAACCTGTGCACTAAGCTCAGGAGTGAACACGTGCAATATGGTATTCAAACTGGGCCAACTTCGAATTACATTAGAGCAATACAGCTAGCTAGCTTTATTTCCATTGTCTATTTTATTAGAGATTAGAAATCACAAGAGGATTCTGTTTTTCACAGGAAAGTATAAAGAGATCAGAGCTCTACCTTCTCAGCTTGACATTGGATTGCTGTGAATGATGGGAGTTATGTCCAGGATCAAATGATCAGTTATTCACTAAGGTGAGACTCCTAGGGAATTTAGAGTGAATTTAAAATGTAAGGCCAAAATAGCTGAATTGGAAGCATAACTTCTAGAATAATTTTTCCAGTTCCACTATTTTGGTCTTAAGTCTGAAATTCACTTTTGGATTCCCAAAAAGTGTCACTTTCCTGAACAGCCCTGTAAATATCAAAATGTGCCTTATACCAAGATAGCTGTCTAAAGTTTATATGTAAACAGAAGCTTCAACACACAGAGCAACTCTGCACAAAGGGAAGCAGTAACTGCAAAGTGCAATACTCTAGTGACTCTACACTGAGTTGTGATGAGTTGAAAATTGGCTGAAACTTTAGGGGAAAATATTTCAACTTGGAAAAAAGAAATTACAGGACATACATTTCCTCTGGTTCTGCTGTGTTGCCCTCTATCTTGCAATTGAACTCATTGTTTGGGGTTTGTAATTCAGTTTGTGTGTAGTGTGTCACTGTCGGACCATGTCTCCTGTGTACAGACAGTGTTAAAGGGACAGCAACACACTATTAAAGGGACCTTAGTAAAGCAGGACTTTAAACTAATACTACTCAGAATCCTGGGCATCTATGGGCAGCCAGACACACTGGCAACGAATAGAAGATGATAAGAAACTGGAAATTTGTAACAATCTGATAGCTGATACAATAACTGTTACTTGTTTTTGCTCATCCGTGTTTTTTTAATTAATTTTGTTGTTTTTTTATGCCCCTTTTACCAACATATACGTATATAATATAAATATATTATGTAATAAAATTATTCAATATAAAAAAATTAAAAAAAGAGTCACCTATATGCCTATATTAAGCAGGCATGTATCATGTAACTGTGCCCATTAACCTGTTGAGTGCCAGACTGGATGTATCACAGACAGTGCCCTCCTCTGGAGTTTTCAGAAGGGCCCACCCTGGGCCCCCAGTCTGGGTTCCCAGCAGACAAAGGGTACTTACCGATCCTCAGGACCTGCTGGGCTGTGTGTGGGATGAGGCTTGCTAGGATGCAGAGGAGGGGGTACCAGAGTCCAGGGCTGGCACAGGGATCCATGCTAGACACTGGAGAGAGGCGGCGGCAGAACAAGCTCTCCATCCCCTGCATTCAGTGCATGCTGCTAGGCAGGATTACTCGCTGGGAAGGGCGAGCACACAGTGGCTGTTTGGGTGATATTTCCACCTCATTATCTGCTTCATCCACCCTACTCTGTCCTCGTCCTCTCGGTGCTGGTTCACAGCTCGCTAGCCCATCACTGCATCTGAGGGTTGCTCTAAAGCAGCCACAAAAATAAGCTGCTTGGCTTCTGATAGCCAGCACCACCAAGTCCACAACTGTTCTCAACCACCACCACAACCAGGGAAGGTCCACAACTGGTCCTCCTTCTCCACCACCACCAGATCTACCAAAGTCCACAACTGGTTCGCCACCTCCACTATGTAAGGTCCTGGTCCTCCTTCACCGCCACCAGCTCTACTAGACAAAGTCCACAACTGGTCCTCAACCAGGTAAGGTCCACAGCGGGTCCTCCTTCACCGCCAGGTAAGATCCACAACTGATCTTCCCCCGACTGCCACCCAAGGAATGTCCACAGCTGGCCCTTCCTCACCACCTTGCAAGGTCCACAAGAGGTCCTCCTTCGGGGGACTTTCCACAAGCCAGAGCCTGCTTCACGAGACCAAGTGAGGAGAGAGAGAGAGAAACTGAGCTTCCACCGTCTCAGGAGATCCAGCAGATTAACCTCTCATCTGAGCCACACACACTCCTCTGCAAGTACTTTAGGCATCCCCCATTTCCAGAGATGATTAGATCTTTGCTGGAAATCTCATGATAAAAGCAAATCTCATCTTCATGTTTGGCTGAGAAGTAAGGGGGAAGCTGGGTGATTAAGTCTGCAAAAACAAGCAGCAGCATATGAGTGTTATCCTCAGTGATAAGCTTCCCATCCAGTCCACTTCTCTTCTCATTATTAAATGAGCATTTAGGGACCACCCCTTGAATTAATCAGTTTGAAACATCCATCCATACCAGGAATGGCTACACACCTCCTAGTCTGTAATGAGTGCAATCTATGGCAGTGTTAAAATAACCTGTCACCTGCTAACTGAGCCCGAGCCTGGATTTATGGTTACAATGTATCTGTGTGTGAACTATTATATCACAAAGTATCTGTGTACGACCTGTTACAATGTATGTGTGTATGAACTATTATATCACAAAGTATCTGTGTATGACCTATTACAATGTATCTGTGTATTAACTATCATATCACAAAGTATATGTGTATGACCTGTTACAATGTATCTGTGTATGAACTGTTATATCACAAAGTATCTGTGTATGACCTGTTACAATGTATCTGTGTATGAACTATTATATCACAAGGTATGTGTGTGTGTGTGTGTGTGTGTGTGTATGAACGGTTACAATGTATCTGTATATGAACTATTATATCACAAAGTGTCTGTGTATGAACTGTTAAATATGTCTGTGTGTGAAAGAGTACAGTGTTTGTGTGTGTGTGTGTGTGTGTGTGTGTGTATTTGTGTGTGTACTGTTACATTATCTCTGTGTGTGAAAGGTTACAGAGTGTGTTTGTGTGCATCAACTGTTACAATGTATATGTGTATGAACTGGTATAATGTATATGTGTATGAACTGGTATAATGTATATGTAAATAAACTGTTACAAAGTATCTGTGTATGAACTCTTACAATGTATCTGTATATGATGTATGTGGAGATAATCTTTCAGCACCATAGACAGCTACCAGCATGGTAATAGTATTGGATAATTCCAGATATTTAATGGAAAAAACCTGCACGATTAAAAAAAAAATAATAATAATAATTAACTTACAAAATAGCATGTATGCCAAAAAAGGATTGTTGCTTAAAACTAATTTGCAATCGATCTGACAGCTTAGGAGGTAACATATTACCAAATAAAAACTTTAGGGACTTTTCAATTCAATGTAAAAGAACATTGTTTAGACTGCAAAAAAAAAAAAAACCAAAAAAAAAAAAAAAACGAGTTTTCACTCAGTTGCATAATTATCTTATTATTACAATTATTATATTTTGAATTGGGAGTTTCAGAAGTGAGCAGATAACCTTGTCCTGCAGTTTAAAGGGTTAACTAACTGATGAATATACACACATGGAAAAGCAAGGGATTCTCAATGAATGGTATCACTATTTGTAATAAAACACTTAGCCTTCTAAGTGACAGATGTAGGATATCCTCATCTCTTTGACAGTTAATGTGTTAAATAATTGTCAGAAGAAGCATATTCACATCTCTCAGACCCTCAATGGGTTAAATAATTGGAAGAAGAGTTAATATCCACATCTTGCTGACACTCAGTGGGTTAAATAATTGACAAAAGTGGAATATTCACATCTCTCTGACCCTCAATGGGTTAAATAATTGGAAGAAGAGTTAATATCCACATCTTGCTGACACTCAATGGGTTAAATAATTGACATAAGTGAAATATCCACAGCTCTCTGACAGTCAATTGGTTAAATAATTGACAGAAGTGAAATATTCACAGCTCTCTGACACTCAATCGGTTAAATAATTGACAGAAGTGGTATATTCACATCTCTCTGACACTCAGTGGGTTAAATAATTGACAGAAGTGGAATATCCACATCTCTCTTGCACTCAATGGGTTAAAAAACAGTAAGCAGGAAACTGTTAGTGGCAGTACAAGTTATGTATAAATCCTATATAGAGCTATTGGGTGGGTATGCTCCACTTTTCTAGCAATTAAAGGGTTACCTAAGAATGTTTAACCCTTTGTGCAAACAGAATACACACATAAGAGGTTAAATACCAAGTAATAGTTAACTGAAACAGACAATTGTGAAATCTGTCAAAAATAAATGTTTATTTGGAAAAGGTCTCCAGCTGTAGTCACAGTTCAGCTATTTAACCTAAATTTGTCTATTTTCAATTCCCTACAACCCCGGGCTAGTTTTAAATGTTCAGCATGCGTTGAGTCGGTTTGTAATGGAGCTGCATTTAATAAAGCATAGTGTACATACAGCCTTAGTACAAACAGCTCTGCTTTAAATGACACCGCTGAGGCTGAGGTGGGATTAGAGTTTCTGGAGCTAAGGTTCTGGAGGTGGAGGCTGAGTGCTGGTAGGGTTAGGATTGAAGATTTAGGATGTGTTTAGTGTCAAAGGACACTTCAGACCCCTACAGCACTTCAGCACAAAAAGTGTCAAATTCCTTTTTAAATGGGCACTTTTATAAAGTAACCTTGCTACACCCCTCTGACTGTCAATCAGACAACTGGTCCTGATCCTGGTTGTTTAGCTCTGTAGATGCTATATACTGTCCCTTACTGGTATCTCCCCCCGATCCCCTAGGATGAATAAAGGGTTAAAAACATTTTTTTTTCTACTAATGCTTTCCTATAGGGATTTTGAAGATCCTAGATGTCCTCGTGCAAAGCGTGAGCATGTCCAACTTCGTTTCACTGAGTTAAACTTTGTGGAACTCTAGGTCATTCCTCTTGTAGCTGTCTGGAAGATAGCCACTAGAGGCTGTCTTATCCCTGCAATGTAAACATTAGAGTATCTCAGAAACTGCAATGTTTTCACTTGTAGGATTAAGGGCAAAGGGAAAATGTACCCAGACCACTTCAATAAGATGAAAGCGCTTAGGGTGACTGTAGTTTTTTTGAAACTCAGTAGGCAGCAAGTGCCCAGAGCAATTGCCTTGCAAAGACTTCTCACTGAGCTGCAATGGGGAGTCTGTGATTGGACAGCCACAGAAACTCTGGGCAAGGTTAGAAGGGGGGGGGAGGTTGCAAATGCTGCTTTTCCAAGCTGGTTTTACTTTTCCTCCAATTAAACAATAATTACATGTATGTATGTATGTTTTTCAATGGCATGTATCTATAAACATCAATTTCCATTTAATTCATTATTTATTATTTGGGAAGTGGAGTGTTCCGGGAAGTGGAGTGTCCCTTTAAGTGGTCAATCTAGGCACCAAAAACACTTCTGATTATTGAAGTAGTAATGTTGCCAGGACATTGTCCTTACAGCTTTTAATTTGACAAATTTGTCAAACTGACTTAACAGGGCTTTAACGAGGTGCTTTAATGACATGTCAATCAAACACCCAGAAGTTGCACGTCCTAGGAACTTTGACTGACAGTTCTGGGAAGCAAAACTCCCTTTTTAAGGCTTATTCTACCAGTTTGACAAGTTTGCTAAACAACTGGGCACAGGACTGGATCGTTACACCATAACTACTTTAAAAAGTTGACATCGCTATGGTGCCTAAAATGTGACTTTGGTTAGGGGACAGTTCAGGTTAGAGGGTACCTTCCTAAAATATGCTTTGGACAATCAGCCAGGACAATATGTAATTATTTGGTATAACAGCATGACACAGCATGTACCCCAGTCATCATAATATTAATCTGCACATTATGATTGGATAAATGGTTAAATTGATGTATGGTGGGGTTCATATGCAAACTGTGAACACCTTGTTGGTAGACGTATCTTTCTTCTCTTCACAGTTCTTATTTATAAAATGAACGGTGTTAATAATTAATTACTGTGAACATGTTAATTAGAATAGAAGGAATGTTAAAAAATAAGTATAGCTTAGCTGAAAGCCAGGATTATTGTTTCACTAATCACAGTAAATCTTTCTCGTTTTCTCCTGATTATGCTATAGACATTTCATTATTTACTGGAAACTTACATTTGTGATTAACATTTTATGGAGATATTGAGACTCACTCAATAAAACATCAAACTAACTTTGAATTGTAAGCTAATTATGCCATTTGACCTTCAATTTGGTCCATGAGAATATCTGCAGAGGTACTTATTGTGGACCTCATGATCATTGTGCCTAGTGGGGCATCAACACACCTCGCTAATGGGACCCTAGACCAAAATTATGATTGAGGGTTGTTGAATCCCTCATGACGAGGGATCTGGCTAGTATTACTGTTCTGGACTGCCCGTGATGTTGGCATCGGACCAATAAGTTTCCATGTGGAACATCTCAGCTAAAATGTATTCACGACCTGAATGGGAAGTAGCCAAATGGCAAGCTATGTAAGTTTTTCTTTCTCTATGTTCTCATATATTTACAACGGTTTGTCTGCATTTTCTTTTTAGTTTAATTGCGTTATTGATGTGTTTTTTTTTTTTTTTCTAAATATAGATTGTGTTGAAGGAAACTGGACAAACAATAAACACAAATAGCATAACAAGAAGGCAAAAAAATAAACAGGAAAAAAAACAATTAAAAGAAGCCATAAGTTATCATTGGGTTCCCCACTAGATGTGAAGCAATCCTGCCCCAGTTTAAAAATGCTGCACTACATAAAAAGAAAAAAAATTGAGTGGGGGGAGTATCAAAAGTTTGGGGAGAATCAGGGTTCCCAGACTTCACCAGGATAGGTTTCCCTAATTCAAAGGGGTAATCAAGGTATGTACCTTTTCTTTATTTTGTGAAGAGGGGTGTCAGAAACTTTATTGACATGGTTATAAGAAGGCCGAACCAATCATCTGGGATTGCCCTCTCTCTTAGGCATAGGGGAGAAACTGACATTCTAATTCTGGAATGTTCTTGTAGCTATCTAAATTTGTATGGTATAAGTTAATTCTTAAATATTACATGTGAGCTAAAATGTGGTTGGTACCTGAGTGGAAACTAACCAAGGGGTATAATAATTGAGTTTTTCCTGGATTTCTGTTCTAATGGAGATCTTATTTGGAAAAGTGCAAACTCCTACACTGCGCAACAACCTTTGGACGCTGACTTCTGTCTTCTTCTGAGATCTATCAGCCTTTTCTTTCAAGACAGTCATATCTATTTCAAGTACTGTTAAGTATTGTATGTATCCATTTTCTTTACTCCTAAATGTGAATAAAGTGTTTCTGCTTTTATGGTAACATTTTAAATCCAGTCAACAAATATTGGAAGATATTTCTGCATGGGGCAAATTAATATATGTAGAATAATGGGTACATTTACTCTACATGTACCCAGTGTATCGAATAAATGTTTTTGCTATCTTGTTTTTTTTTTAAAAGAACTTTCATGAAGGGATTGCTTGCTGTGTATTAATGGTCTTGTGCAAAAGCCAAAAGCCACTTAGTTTAGCTGTAAACCGATCTTTAAATTACTTTCTCAATGAGCTCATGTAGATTCTTATTGACTGATCTGTTTGTAGAAGTAAATAGATCATCAAGTTCAAAATCCTGAGCATAACGAGACTAGAAGTTTTAATTTTAAAGGGAAATGGTGCAAATAGTTGGTCTAGTGAAGTTAGAGAACAATGATATGTATTGGCATATACTGTAACTAAACCCCCATTATATTTTACCTAGGTGAGGTGTTTTTAAATAAAACTATTACATTCTGCGAGACTTAAAATTGCTGTTTAGTAAATGAGCATTATTATGCCAATAAAGGTGAGCATTTGATTTGAGTAAATACAATGTGTGTGTGTTTCCTTAAAGACCGGAGTGCAGCCACCTTTATGGATCTTTATACTTTGGAGTCCTGGCTTGGGCACTCATGCTTTAAATCCCTGATATTACCAGGTGCCCAAGCCAGGAGGGTTCTAAAGCATAAACATCCATAA